CGTCTTCTGAAAACTTAGGGGGCTAGGTAGATCTATCGATTAATTATATTATCACCTGGTAAAACGACGATGTTTTCTTCCTTAGCCAGCTTCTCGCAGAATTCTTGATCGTCATTGATGTCCACAAAGCAAGATAAATCCAGCTCGGTCTACGACAACAATAAATGCTCAAGGTGAAAATGTCTCGAAAAAAAGAAGAAGAAAAGTGAAGCAGAAGTGTAATAATATGTATAGAGTACCCATAAGAAGGTGCAGGCTTCGGGTTTCATGTAGCAAGTGAGGCTAGGAATGTGTTTGAGCTTAGAATATCCAAAATCTACTTTATCTTTCAAGAAACTCCCACTCTTATCGAAGTACTCTTTAGGAGTTTTCTCCAAGATGTCGGGAATAGCCGCCTACATGGTTAACAATGACTGAAATACCGCAATAATTTAAATATTTTGTTTTACTCTTACAAGTTACAATATCGAACCGTGTTTACCTTAATAACAGTCGGAGGTTTAGGGTTTATCTCGAGAAATTCTTTAGCAGCTTGTAAAATCTGTCCACACATAGCCAAATATTTAGGCCAACAAATTAAAGACAGCTTATATATTAACGAATACTAGATCATGATTCGGGTGTTGTGATTGGGGACAATAGCAAATATACTTAACTATCAACAAATTAAATACATGTTTAACCGATTGTAATAACTGAAACGCTTAATGTTTAAGAATTTAGCCATATTTGACTTTGTGATAATAGTAATACGTTTTTTTAAAGTAAATTGTTTTTAAAATTAAATTTTATTTTTGTTAATTCAATGACAACAACCTATTAAATAATAATATTAAAGATTCCACATAGACAAATATACTAATACAAATGAATATATACACATATTTTCAATTCACGAAATTATTGCTTGTCTTAGTAAAAATAATAAATATCAATACAATTTATAGAAGGTATAACTTTTTTTTTTTAATCAAAAGAAGATATAGTGTATGTAGAGATTAAGCGATCCTCATGGATTTGTACAAGACAGTTTTTCTCTTCCTAAATGAAATGAAAGATGTTAACAAAATGTAGAGATTAAGTAAGAAATGTCAATGGCATGAACAAATCTATGTATTTACAATTACAAGTTATTTTCAATTTTTTCTTGTTAACTAATATACTAAAAGATGCTTTAAAAACTACTATGAAGATAGTCAAAGAGGATCGGACCTTGGTGTTTCTGAAGACACCATCTAGATCATGCAGAGCGAGCCAGCCAGTTCGCCATTCTGGGACAGTCCATCCCTTTAGTATGGATCCGAGTGTAATTATTAGTACGATTGACGAGAATTTTCCCATTGGAACAAAAGGGTCACTTCCAAATACGGTCCATCTATATATAAACTTCATCAGAAACCACCAAAATCGAGAGTTCCTTAGCCAATTTAGCGAGCTGATATAATAACACAAGAAGCAAATCAGACTATTCGCGTGGTCAGGTGAATACTTTAGTAATAACTAAAGACCAAAGAGTC